TAGGTTATTATAGTTTTAAACAGAACTCAGTGTCACTTATTTAGCTTAATAGTGTAATAGTTTCTCATAATTCTCATATTTTGCCAGTTTCTGATAGTTTCTGATAGATTATGATAGTTTTAAACAGACCTCAGTGTCACTTATTTAGCTTAATTTAGATAAGTTTCATAATCATTATGGTCTGATTTTGTTTCCACATGAGTAAAAAGAAACGTCTTATAGTTCTCATAATTTGTCATAGTTTCTCATAGTTTCGGATAGGTTATGATAGTTTTAAACAGACCTCAGTGTCACTTATTACGCATCATTTAGATAAGTTTCATAATCATTATGGTTTGATTAGGTTTCCAGGTGAGTAAAAATAAAAACAGTCTGATAGTTTCTCATAATTTGCCATAATTTCTGATAGATTTTGATAGATTATGATAGTTTTAAACAGACATCAGAGTCACTTATTATGCACAATTTAGATAAGTTTCATAATCATTATGGTTTGATCATCTTTCCATATGAGTAAAAAAAAAATTGTGTAATAGTTTCTCATAATTTCTGATAGATTGATAGTTTTAAACAGACCTCAGTGGAAACGTTTCATAATCATTATGGTCTGATTATGTTTCCACGTGAGTAAAAATCTAAATAGTCTGATAGTTTCTCATTATTCTCATGATTTCTCATAGTTTGTGATAGATTATAGTTTTAATAGATAGATAGATAGATAGATAGATAGATAGATAGATAGATAGATAGATAGATAGATAGATAGATAGATAGATAGTAACAGACCTCAGTGTCTCTTATTTCCCTTAATTTGAATACGTTTCATAATCCTCACGGTCTGATTATGTTTCCACACGTGCTTCAAACCAGAATTTCATTCATATCGACACACATTTAACCAGTTATGGCTTTAATTTCTATTTAATTTTAACCTCTCCTGGTCTGAGGGCCCCCAGGGCTCAGGTCTGGGCCCCTCTCTTTCTTTAGGCTGATGTGGTCGTTTTTAAGGTGGAAATTAAGACTGAACGTTACACAAATAGTGGGGAAAGTTAGTTTAACTCAATTTTAGACTGAATTTTCTTTTTCTGTGGTGTTTCAGTCGTTTTTTTTTAGGCTTCTGAGCAACGAATCTGCTCTTTTCCGGGTTTTAAACATCACATTTCAGCTTAATTCAGCATAAATGAGCTGTGGGGTCCCACAGGGCTCCGTCCCAGGACCCCACTCCGTTGTCATGGTGATGATCATCTAATCTACAATCGTTTTTCTTCCCATTTCCAGTCTGGGAAACTCAGTTTTCTTCCTGTTTCTAGCCCGGAAAAATCAGTTTTCTCCCAGTTCCCTGGCCTGAAAAACTCTGTTTTCGCAGAATTTCCAGTCTGGAAAACTCAGTTTTCTCCCAGTTTCCTGGCCCGGAAAACTCAGTTTTCTTCCTGTTTCCAGCCTCTTTTTCTCCCATTTTCAAACTCTTTTCATTTAATTCTGTTTGACAGAAAGTCAGAGACTTTCTAAAGTGCCAAATACATAAATATAATCATTAAAACCCCCAGTCTGGGGTCACTTGAATGCTCCTTTTTGACTCTCGATGTCTCACAGAGCTGATTTAAAGATTCTGTCGGTGGTTTTTAAACATCTTCCTGAACCTCACAACTGTCTTCATCTAAATCTGGATAAAACTGCATTAAATTGGGTCAACTTTTGGTTTCAGATCATCATTTGGTTAATTTTTTCTGCTCTGTGACACTCAAAACGAACAACAGGAGTTATTTGTTCAAGTTATAGACTTAAATTAAAGTAAAAAACTCTTTTTTTTTTAACTCTTTGGTTATTTGGGAAGTTATTTAGGCGAGTAAAATGTCGTATATGATCAGAAAAGTTCCCTCCCTTCAGCTGGTTTGTTCCTAACGTCATATTTTTGTTTTTATTTGTTTGTTTTTAACTCTTCCTCAGGTGTTGTGCATGTTTTTGTTTTTATTTGTTTGTTTTTAACTCTTCCTCAGATGTTGTGCATGTTTTTGTTTTTATTTGTTTGTTTTTAAGTCTTCCTC